TCGGGCGACCCCCGCTCCCGATGTGGGTCCCACGTGCAATTTACTATTCACGCGAAAGAATTAATAAAATTTTACAACTTCGTAAATTCATTAATCCTTTGATAAGGTTCAATACATTATTTACATAAAAGTAAATATACTTGGGGACGGTGTTACACCTAGAGCCACCCGCTACGGCCCAACTCAAACTTATAGAGAACAAGGCATCGGCCTAGTACCACTACGGCCCAAGTACCACAGAGCTTCAAAGCAAGCGTCGGCCCATACGGCCGAAAAAGGAACGCATCGGCCTAACTCTACGTCCTCACAACGACCCAGAAAACCTTAATAGACCGCTACGGCCTCCTAGGCGCGCATCGTCGACGATGACCCTGGTATCGCGGCCTTCGTCCAAGGGTTCTCCCACAGGGTTACCTTAGACAGGTTCGCCTAAGGGTTGGAATCGCGACTAACACATAGGCACCGAATCGGCTCATTACTCCCTTGTGCCTCAGATGCTCTTCGGCCAAAGGAGTGGGGGACTGGGGGACTGCATCGGCCACAAGGAAAGAAAACGCAACGGCCTTAATGCAAAAAGGATGCGTTACGGCTCACCAACAATAAAAGACGGGCGATTCACCTCAAAAAAGCATTAAGAGTCGCGTCAGCTACCTCAATGGCATTGCGGGTCACGTCGGCCACAGAGCCCAAAATGAAAAACCCAAAATACAAAACCTAAGCGCGCAACGGCTGCGCACACTGGGGGACCGCATCGGCTCACCAGAGCAAGAACCCACAAATCAAACGCTTCGGCTACATGACAAATCAAAGGCGTGCATCGCATCGTCTACATAAATGGAATTAACCATCTCCATCTCATGAAAATATGTCATCACTACGGACAAAAGAATAGATGGGAGCTCTTCGGCCCCAGCAAAATGACGACGAAAGCATGCCAACTTATCCACCAGGATTCATCGCATCATCTACAAAAAAGAAAAGCGCATCGCCTCGTCTTCAAAAGCACTTCCATAAAGAGTGCAGCGGCCCGCATCGAGGCTATGAATGCCCAAGCGCGCTTCATCCACATCAAACAAGGGAACCGCTTCATCCAAAAACGAAGCAGAAACTCTTCGGCCATCAAGCACCTTAGGCTCACGCAACGGCCAACCTGAGAGGAGCGAATACTCCCTTTCGCCTCGGCTTCACCTCAGCTCAGAGAGTGGGGGACTCCTGATAGAGTATATGGGCCTGGACCCCATGGCTCACATACTCAACGGCCCAAAAAACACCAGCGGGACACCCGCATCGGCCAAAGGCACGTGACGTCCGAGAGAGAAGATATCGCCTGATTTCTATGGACCGCGTCGTCCATGGACCGCGTCGTCCATGGACCGCATCGTCCATGGACCGCATCGTCCGGACTTCGTCCGGGCAGAATGTATTTTCCTATTTTTTGTACTAAGTGTTGTACTCAGCCCATTAGTGGCCTTATTCGCCCAAAGATGGCATGATTATTGTAATGGGCCTCCTAAGCCCAAGGCTAGGGGCCCAAATCCACATTTTTACCTATAAATAGACCCCAAGGGGCTAATTATAGGGGGTTCCAAGTTGAGAAATATAATTACTCACTTTCTCTATCTAGCTCTCACTTCTCTCCAGAATTAATACTCTATCACTATGTTAAATACTAGTAGTACTTGGTGGTTCTTCGCTATTATGCACTGTTATATAACCTATAACTGTTTTTGATAAGCTGAAATTTTGGTGTTTTTTTTTCGATTTTGGATCATTTTATTTAGGATTTCAGTCTGTTTTGACGCAAAATCTTATGTGTCTTCATTGTTGTCATTTTGGGATCATTCATTCGAAGGGACTCGTTTAAAATTTTAGAACAGATAGTGTATCACTGGAGTATGTATATGTATACGGACTACGGAGTAAAATATTTTCTTGAGGAAGCTCATCGATGGAAAAGAGCTACTAATTTGGAGTAAGGAGAAATTTACAAATAATATTCTTAATGATAAATAAACATTTGGAATCAGGCGTGACATATCTATATTTTATAGGTCCAGTAGAATTAGGCGAGGGACGCTACGGTTATATGACTGGATATTAATGGCTAGCCTCAACCGTTGTTAGAATTTCGCTTATTTATGCACTTCTTATTATATAATGTTCATTCTTTTTTAATTTCTTAGAGAAGTTGTAGTTTTTCATACCATGTTAGAAGCATAGAAATCGATATGATCAAATTAGATTTTCATTTGTCTGTTACATGATTAGCGACTTTTGCGGCCCATTTATATATGGGTGACAGTCTGACAGTATCGAAGTCTAATCATGTAATGATCTTTGATTTATTACTCTCAAAATAGGCGATAACCCATTCAAAAAACATTTGTAGTTTATCATTTGAGTATCTTTATGATGGGTATATATTAGAACCCGGTGTAGGGCAAGTCTAGAGAGACAAGCTAGAATGAGAAAGTGTCTATTAAATTCGACAGAATATATGACAATACAAGTAATGATTAAGGATCCACAGTTTAGAAAGTTCTATTTATATATAAGTATAAAACAAAATGTGGACTACAAGTACGGGAAATGTAGCCCGACTGAGCGGATTTTATCTGGTCAACCTCATTCGGGTGTGCTCGTCTAGATCCAAGAGCGGGAGCTAGTCTGCTCGGCCTCATTGGTGCAGCTCGGATCGAGGTGGAATGAGCTCCTTAGTAGAATGTTAAGACCCTATTCCTTACCCCAGCCTAGGCCTTGGTAGAAAGGATTCCGGTGACTCTCCATTTCAGGTTATTTTTCTAATATTGACGATGATAATTATATGGCGATTACGAAAGATGATGAAGAAAGAATGTGATGAATATGGAAGATGGTAAAGATAAAAGATTATGCGTATAGAAAATAATGGAGATGGTGATGGTGAAGATGATAAAATGGTGAATGTTGAGCTAGTACAAATGGGAGAGAGAAGGTAAAGAGAGTAGGTTAAGAGAGAAGGTAGGTAAAAATGAGAGGGTTTATGTAGCGTGAGCCACAAATGCATACACTACCTTTTGTGTATACCAAACATTGTTGTCATTTCTTCTCTTTTATGGGAAGTTTTGAGTTCGAGCCTGAGAAAATTTGAGTTTGAGCCTGTTTGGTAGCATTAAAATTGACTAAAATGACTAAATCTTTTGAATTTGATAAAATTCAGATTGAATTGGTTGAACTTGATGAATTACTAAAAAATATACTCTCTCTGTCCCTGAAACAACTTCCCAATTTCCTTATCTGGATGTCCCTAATTTAACTTCTCATTTCCTTTAATGGCAAGTTATTTATATTAAAACATTGCCAAATAGAGCAAAACAGTGTCAAAACAGTAAAATTTACCACCTGATAAGTTTATTTCCTTAATATGTGTGTAAGTCAAACCGGAAAGTTGTTTCGGGGACGGAGGGAGTATTTAAATACTACGTGAAATATATTTAAAGAAAAGATATATGTGAAAAATAGTTAAAATGGTTCTTTAAAGTAACTCCAACAAATTCAAACAAAAAAGGTATTTAAAACTTATTTATTTTGATTATCACACATATGCGAAACCAAACCTGTTTACAATATTCGACAATATAAATAAGTAGCGGATGTTCTGAATCAAACTGACTATATATTATGCATGGTTTATCAATTAAAAAGAAGAAAAGTGCCAAATTGGTCCTCTATATATTTTTTGTCAAAGTCGTTTTTTAGCAAGTAACCTGCCGGTCAGCAGGTTACTTGCTGACGTGGCGCTCAAGCGGAATAACGTTGCACTACATGGCGGCCCACGCCACCTTCACCCATTTTCCTTTTCTTTTCTTTTTCTTTTTTTCTTTCTTTTTCTTTTTTCCTTTCTTTTTCTTTTTCCTTTCTTTTTCTTTTTCCTCTTTCATTTTCTCTTTCTTTTAGGGGTGAGCATTAAAATCGAACTCAAGTGCTACTAAACCGGCCCGTAATGGTACCAAACCAAATACCTAGTATTTTAACGGTTTTATAGATTTTTATTTCGAATCAAAACCATACCATTTGACAGGGTACGTGACCATTTCTAGATTTTGAGAACCGGAAAAAATCAGAACGGACCGTTAAGCCATTCCCTGCATCCATGGCGTGATTCAATCGTAGCGCTTCATCCATGGCGTGAATTTTCCGCAGAGCTATTTCTCTTCTCCACAGTTCGGCGTCCGCCATCTCCCCAAGTCAAACTTGTTCGTTGGTCAGGGGCCCTAAGGTTAAATTCGCCTCCGGTTAGCTTCATGGTCGATCGCCTTCGTCGTCGGTCCCCTTTGTCTCTGGTCGCCTTAATAGTCGAGAGCGCCTTTGTCGTAACGATGCGGACGACCAACTAAATCGGAGATGTTCAGCGGCGAATGACGGTTATTTGCTGGAGGAGAGGGGAAGGGACTCGTCGCCGCCGCCAGTTAGCGTCGTCACAATAGGATTCTGAGATGTTTGCCTGCTTGCGAGGCAGAAGATACATGCTACTCTACGAGGAGGAGGAAGACCGGGGAATGTGGAAGAGAGAGAAAATGAAAGAAAAAGAGAAAGGAGAAGAAAAAACGCTTTTTTATTCCCGGAGCAAACCACTCATGGTGGAGGAAGTGCCGGGGAACACTACCTTATTTTATTAAAAAAAGAAAATAAAAGGTACAAGGAAAAGTTGGAAAGAAACGAAAAACTTTAAGAATTAAAATTTTTAGAAGGTATCCCAACCGAAGCTGAGATTGACCTATTATATTTATTATGAAACCTACGAAATGGTGAATTACATGCAAAATAAAGTAAAATTGATCAAAATTTTAAAGTAGTAAAACGTAAATAAAGTAAAATTGATCAATTTTTTAAAATAGAAAAATGTAATTGATGAAATTCAAGTGGGTGACTAAATTGATTTTCCTTACATGAGGAGGGCAAATTTGACACTATTGTCATTAAAAAGTTACCTCTTCTACCCATAACCCACTCCTTCCTGTCTTTTGGGACGAAGTTAACAAAGAATGTGTTGAACAATAAACAGTACGGAACACTCCTTCAAAATTCTAGTACTCCTTAACCATAGTACCCGTCCTTGTTATGGGTACTCCTTAAGGCCGGCCGGGCCCCGTCCAATTGTTGACGACAGCCTGCGTACCGCCGACGAAGATTCACATCGTCCGTGCAGACCTTCTTTATTTGCGGGACCACTTTTTCCACTTTTTTATCATTACCCCATACTTTCCGGCAAAGGGATACTCCGGCGGGCCAAAAAAAATGGTTATCGAAATCTCCGAACCAAACACTTGCATTCGCGGTTGTTGCCACAGCCAAACGATCCCTCTGCATCTCCCGCCTTCTTCTTACTCTGTCTCAGTTACGATCGCCAGAGGTCTACACTCTGTTCAACCCGTATATGAACTCTAGTGTTATTTTCCCGTATGGGTCCGATTTACTTCATCCGAACTGATAATGTTGTTTTTGTTTTATTTACAGGCGCGGAGAGCGTGGTGTACGAAGGGATTCTCAACGGCCGGAAAGTCGCCGTGAAAAAGCCCATTCTAGCCACTTCCGATGATTTGAATAAATTCCACAAGGAATTGCAGTTGCTCTGGTTTTCATTCTAGCCCTTCTTTTTCATTTTGCATAGTCATTTCTCATTTCTTTTCTGGTTAATGATTTTTTCACGCTAAAATAAGCTTGCTGGATCATCCGGGAATAGCTAAGCTTGTTGCTGCACATGCGAGGCCTCCAAATTATATGTATTTCTTTGAATTCTATGAGCTTGGGAATCTGGCTGCTCAGTTGCACGTTGAACAATGGAGTCCGAGCACTCACAAGGTGCTTGATGTCTCGTCTAAACTAGGTAAACCATGTACCTTTCATTTAACAAAGATTAGCCCAGAATCTTATTTGAGTAATACTATGGAGTACGTGTTAGTTTATCACAGAGTAGTTTGTAAGAAAACTTAGAAAAGTAGAGCTTTTGTGGTTTGTATTGAATTTGTAAAGTGTGAATAAAGAAAGAATGAATTAGAACCACACAAATATTTCCAAATATGATATGAGACAGATTTAGTGGGACACAAATTTAGTGGGACAGAGGGAGTAGTTTATTGTTTTATACTAAACCAGTCATCATTTTCATTTAACTTAGTGCCGCAAAGGCTCCCACCTACGGTGGTGTAAGGGGGTCAGATGTACGCGGGGTAAACTAAAGCACAAAGAGACTGTTTCTGGATGACCCATAGTGAAAATCGCGTCCAAAATTGCATGGACTAACTTGCGGCTTTATAATAAACTAGTATTGGTTAAATATTTGTACACGTTCCTCGACCCAAGTTTAGCTGGATGGCAGATAGATGGGCTAAATATACCTTACACGGGCTACCTAAACTGGGGTGTAAAAAAACAATAAAACCATTGACCTGTCTGATTTTAAACCAGATTTGGCTAGATTTAATGTTAGGCTGAGATCCTAAATGTTAATTTATTGCGTTATAATATTCCAATGAAATGTCAATCAATAGATGGTAAGTTGAAGCTAGATTTAGTTTGTTAGAGCTGGATACTTGTGGAAGAGTTTACCCAACGACCAATTTTTTTTGGTTGTGATGATTAAATTTCAGCTAAGGCTCTGCAATATCTGCATACACTTGGGATTGTCCATAGGGATGTGAAACCGTCTAATGTTCTGGTAACGTTTTTATGATCCTCTTACATTCCCATTCAAGTCTAGATTGAAGCTGCTGAATCATGTCATTATAATATACTGTTTTTTGTCACTACTCCTTCCACTGTCAAATCCAGTGAGGCATTAATTACGTTTTTCTATATTTCCATTATCATCTTTCCACACTAAACACCAATAGAAGGTCGAGAGAGTTGATAGAGTATTATATTCATTTGCTTTTTTATTCTTTATAATTTTGGGAAATTCATTTATGTGAGAAGTAACTTACTTTGGTTTATGCATCTATCCAAGTAAGGGAGTATTATGCATGTATCCATATTTAACAATTGTTCAATTGTTGCACTATAATATACACCCTGGTACTGTTGTATCTCTTCAGCTCGACAAAAACCTTCAACCACATCTAGCTGACTTTGGTTTGGCAGAACACACGGAAAATGTTAAACAAGTCTCCACTCAAAGCTGGAAGTCAACTGGCAAGCCAACTGGTGGATTCCACAAGAGGAATATGGTTGGAACACTTATTTACATGGCACCTGAAGTTCTAAAGAAAGGTTTACCTACAGAAAAATCTGATGTTTACAGTTTCGGAATATCAGTCAAGTATGAACTTTACCACAAACTGCTCTTACTCTGCACTCCAAAGAAAGAGATGTAAACACATACTGTGCTGAAGTGTTTGTTTGACCTTCATATAATGATTTAAGGTCTATTTGGATGGAAGTCTTAGTCTAAATCTTTATATTTAAGTTTTATAGAAGAAGAATGATTAACGTAATCTCATGATTGTCAGCACCTTAAACCCAACTGGTTGAGGTCAGTGGCGTACTGGCATTAAATTTATACTGCCAACTAATTTTATAGAATTAATTGACTATGTTATTTTTTGGATTCCCTTTGTGTCAAAGCTTCACAAGAAGATTAGCGAGATGAAAATTCTATTACAATCATCACCATACATCATTTCCACATTGGATAGAAAAATATCTGAGAGGTCATGTTCCACTACAGGTGACCATAATATGAACATATATTTGATTGTACAACATTTAAGTCGTCCTTCATTCATTTTTTTGAAATATTCTAATTATCAAGATATAATTTCTAGACTAAGCCCTCAAAAGCATTGTAATCCAACCCCTTCCATCCAAAGAGGCCCTTATGGACTCTTCAGCTGGTACTTTATATCATGTTATGAAAGATAATGATACCTGTGTAGAGTTGTAGACTATAGTGATTTTTTTAATTTACTCTGATTTCTGAAACCTGGTCATTGACATATAAATGATTTTTTGTCTGTATTATTTTGAGGGATTTGATAAAGTAAAACTGCTGACGTGCATGATCATTTACATTGGTACCTAATAGGTTAATGTATAAATGTTGAGGCCTGAGGGTTATGAATATTTACAATGTTTGTCCAATATGTTGCAGTGAGCTTCTTACGGGTGTTGTCCCATACACTGATCTTCGTGCAGAAGCACAGGTTGGTTTCTCCTTTTGTCAAACTTCATACATTGAGGTTCTTTAATTTTTCCAACACTTGATATCTCCGTAGTCCGTACTAATACTCCTGAATTGTTGTGGACGAGTCTTACCCTTGTTCTTGTGTATGCTTTAATCGGATGACATAAGCTGTTGCACTCTAGGTATAAAAATGCTCTTTTCTTGGATATGAGTAAGATCAATAGTGCCTAAACCTGAAATCCTAAAAAATAAAAATAATACTCCGTATGATATAATAATTCCACCATCCTTTATTGACAAACAATATGAAAAAGAAAATATTCCATAGAAAACAAGTAAACAACAATGCCTTGCAAAAAGGATCACTGACTCATTTCGAAAGGTGCCTTACTGCCTTATAATAAGTGCCTGAGGGAATAATAAACATTTAATGGATTTACTGTACTAGTGGTCAAAAGCATACTGAAATTGTGTTATAACGTCTAGCAAACCAAACAATATGAAACATTTCATTACAGCTGCAGCTTACCTGTAGATGACTACCAGCCCCCCCCCCCCCCCCCCCAGCTCCCTCCCCAGCCCCCCAATCTATACCATCTTTTCAACAATTTGGTCTTGCCTATCTAAATAGATAGAAGACAAGTTATGTGGCTTTGACTTGGTTGCTACACTCATGACTGTTCTGGCTGCTTACAAAAAAACGATCACTTATTGGCAGGCTCATACTGTGCTCGAGATGAACTACACTGAGCAACAACTTACCACAGCTGTGGCATCTGAAAGTTTACGGCCCGTGCTTGCTGGTCCTAATTCTAGTATACCAGCAAGTTTAGTTTCTTTGATAAGTAGGTGCTGGGCTGATGATCCCCAGAATAGGCCCTCATTTGATGATATCGTTATGGAACTTGATTCCATTATGGAGCATGAAATTAAAGTCAACAATGGAGAAGAAAAGGCTTCAGACGCGCATTCTGTTTCTCAAGGTTATCAGGAGAACATATATTGGTCTAGTAGGGGTGAAGATTTTGCAAGGACAGTCTCTTTTACCCCTAATTCTTGTGTGGGTTCGTGGGACAATTCTCCTGATGTTCCTCCCGTATATTCACCAGTCCTTTCATGGGGTTCCTTTGCTAGCTGTGGGAGAAGAGAAACAATGGAGGATAGACACTTTCTAATCCCCAACATGTTTGATACACAGGACATCCATGTATTTGGAATCTTTGATGGTCATCGAGGTAAATTAATTACACGCTAACATGAAGTTTTCTGAGTGTTTTTGCGCAATGAACACAAAATGCTCTTTGGCTGACAAATAAAACGTTTCTTCATTATAGAAGTGTTTTTTGCTCCATGCACTTCTACTTAAGCATGCACTTAATAAAATACTCTTTTTAGATGAGCAATGAATGCATGTATGCATTTTATATCCTTGAAGGGTTTGCTTACAAAAAAGAGAGATGCAATAAATACCAAGTAGTCTCCATTTTCATTTCCCCACATTCTTCCTATACGTTGTCACAGCCCTATTACTTTCTGATTATTAGGGTCGGTTTGGACCCTGGAATATTCATTGGGGGGGGGGGGGGGGGGGTAACAATGAAAACATAGAGAGGAAATATTTAATGAAAGAAAATGTAGGCTAAACCTCAATGAATTCATTTTAGATATTCGTCGATGCAGGCTTTAGAATATGATGGAGCCAATGATTCATTATTTTTTGGCTTGAGAATATGATGGAATAAAGCAAAATGACTCACTCAACTGTCTGCGCTTCTTTGTTATGAAGCAGCAGTCAGTCCATGCAATTTTGGACGCGATTTTCACTATGGGTCATCCGGAAACAGTCTCTTTGTGCTTTAGTACAAGGGTAAGACTGTGTACATCCGACCCCCCCCTTACCCCACCGTAGGTGGGAGCCTTTGCGGCACTGGGGTAAATGAAAATGATGATGATGTCGATGTAGGCTTTACTTATTTATGTCTGTTATAGGTAAAAAAATCTAATCATATTATATTTCCTTATGGATTTTCAAGGTAATACCAAACAAAAGAAAATGACTTTATTTAGCAATTTCTTTCCCTTCTCCATAACATTTTGTGTGATCCAAGCTTACCCTTAGTATGTTTTGTTTTATACATCGGAAAGGAATACCCTTAGTATGTTGCCAGAGGAGATCAAAGTATTCTTTATGGAGATTTTTATTTGTTCATACTTTTGGTTTAGGTGCAGCAGCTGCTGAGTTTTCTGTTGGAGCTCTACCTGGAATTTTGAAATCTCTTGACTCAAGGGACATGTTTCACTGTCCCTCAAAAGCCCTTACTGAAGCATTCATCCAAACTGATATTGCATTCAGAAAGGAACTTAGTTTTCAGAAGAAACTCAAGGGAGCTATTAAAAAAGACTGCCATCCTGGTTGCACTGCAATTGCTGCACTTATAGTTAAAAACAAGCTTATTGTTGCTAATGCAGGTGATTGCAAAACAATCTTGTGTCGAGCTGGAAATTCATATGCTTTAAGTAGGGTAAGATTTAATTCATTCTATTTTAATGAAGTTTCTCATATCAAATGGCCTCACCATGTAGTTACCCATTCAAAGTGTTAATTTTAAATTTGATTAGAACTAATCTAAACTTAATGTAGTAGGACCATGTTGCTAGTAGTTTTGAGGAGAGAGAGCGAGTCACTAAAGCCGGCGCCCAGGTTAAATGGCAAGTTGACACATGGAGGGTTGGTAATGCAGCTCTTCAGGTTAGTTTCCTTCAGTTTTTGCTACACATGTATTTCCTTTTTCAGTTAATGTTTGTTTGGAATAACAATCTTACTTCTTATATCAACTTGCCAAAATTGAATTGTTTCCAAAATTCGAGGCATTTTCAGATAAGATTAAACTGTTGCAGATTTGTTCGCATTTTTTGTGTATGGAAATGTTCCCTTAGATGAAACCATTCTCGAATTTCAGTCTCATAATTCACAATTTTCTTCAGGGTTTAAAGAATTTTGGCCAGAAATTTAACTTATCGATGGATTCCATATGTGCAACTCATGTGCACGAAAATCTACTTTTTTAAAGTATTCAAATAAAAATCCAAAAAAAAGTGATATGTAAGATATACAAAAAAAATTGCATAGTATATCCTGAAAATTCTTGCCATAAAAATTTGAATTGTTGTGCACGAAAGTTGCACGGACCAAAACTGAAAATGGATCAAATATGCACTTTCCCTTTATGTAATTACTTAAATTAATGAGCTATTTGGTGGTTAAACACATTACTTATAGGTCACACGGTCTATTGGCGATGACGATCTTAAGCCAGCTGTAACTGCAGAACCTGAGATTTCTGAAACTATTATGTGCCCTGATGATGAATACATTGTAAGCTTTTTCCATCTGCTTCATAAATCTGGAAAACAAAATGAATCAATAGAAGAACAAATAATAATATACAATAATAAAAGAAACCTATGAGTAAAATCTGATCTGCCAAGTACTTGTTCATCAGGTAATGGGTAGTGACGGGCTGTGGGATGTTTTGAGGGAAGAGGAAGTGGTGAGTATAATAGGAGACACAGTGAAAGAGGCAGGTATGTGTTCTAAGAGGTTGGCAACTGAAGCTGCTGAACGCGGCAGCCAAGACAATATTACGGTTATTGTCGTGTTCTTGCGTCCTGTCTCCACTGCCCAAAGAATTTATTGATCTGATCTAGCAGCATATGATGCATTCTTATTTAATCAGGATTTGGTTCCCTAATCCGGCTCATCTCCTGTGTAAATTAGGCAACCTGCACGCTCTTTTTGGAGCAGTTATTACACTATGATACTACTATAATATTAGCAGTCTGTACATGCACCTCTATAATCTTATATAACTTGGAGTATTTTTTACTTGGAGTTAGAGCGTGTTTGGGATCACTTGTTGTATAAGTAATTTTATCTTCAATGCTATCTCATTTAAGCACTTGAAGTGCTTTTCTTAGTAGCAATTTGTTTTGTCTTATTTTTTGAGCTTATTAACCAGCTTTTTTTTAAGAACCAGCTTTTTATTTATCAACACACTGATTTCTTGACTTTTCCCGTTAGATGATGAGAATAATAAGGGTGTATCACTTTAATTGCTTTGTTAAAGATGATGGTTTTAGTATGTTGTGCAAAATTCGAATTCACACTTCGTACACTAAATATTGAAGGATCGATACGTATCACCTAATTTCAAAACAATGCCGGGTGGACATCAAACTAGTTTGTGTTTGATTTGATGGTATCTTGTTGCGTTTTGTTCTGTTTTAAGTATTTTTTTATCTCGTTAAAAAGGTCATATAGAGTTCTAAAAATCATACTCCGTGTAGTACTAGACTTGAAAACAATACTTCATTTAGTCCGAATATACTACGGAGTATATTTTAAACTTCTTTCAAACAGACTTTGAAAAAAGCATCATTTTTTTTACTTTGTTTTTTGAAATCAAGAAACTTATTTATTCATGCGAACTATGGCAAAGAATAGAGAGTGAATAGTCTATAGCTACAAGCCTACAATGGGATGAGACGACAACAACACCAACATCCAAGCCTTAGTCCCAAAGGATATTGAGGTCGACTAACATGAATCGATACATGATATCACCACCAAAAGAAAAAGAAAGAAAATAAAGATAAAAAACTATTACTACGTATAAAAAAGATAATATAAAACGAGATGAATATACCTAAAAATGATAAAATAAAAAGGATAAAAATAATGTTTATATATATAAGGATAAAAGAACAAAAAGCAAGAAGAAAAAAGATGAGGAAAATAATAATACGAGGTCACTCCTCTATATGAATATCCGCCTTCCACTTTGCTCTACATGAATCAATCCAACACAGCATGCGCATATCTGCCACACTCATCTTTTGAATGTGATATTATTTCACTGCTCAACACTCTACGCCATACAGCAATGCAAACTTAATTGTTGTCTTATAAAATTTACCCTTCAATCTCGTCGGCATACCTCTATCACATAGAAATCCTGACGCACTTTTCCACTTCATCCACTATGTTCTAATTCTATGGGATACATCTCTATCTAGCTCATCGTCCTTCTGAATTATGGAGCCCAAGTAACGGAACATATCACTGACTGGTATCTAACACTACTTCTACAATGGGATGAGACATAAAACGAAAAACATATAACAGACGCTCTCATATCACTTTTTTTATGCTCTCATATCACTAACCACACAACAACGTATTCTAGTCTAACAGTCTTGTTGTATTGTCTATTTCAACGAAAAGACAAAAGACTGTAAATAAGGCTCAGCTTTATTCGCCACCGGAAAGAGAGTATTAATTTGACCAGCAATTAACAAAGAAACTCTACCAAGAAGAAATTGTTGAATCAACAGTTTGACCAGGCCTCAAAGCCGCCAAAGCCACCAATATCGAGAGTCAACATTTTAGAAAAAATAGGTTGAACAAGCTTTGTTAATCATGAGCAACGAAAATTCATTGCTTGGTCGGTAACACCAATGAGGAATACATAATTTGTAGACATCGTTGGAAGAGAAACATATATAAAGCCCATTTGACAGCCCGTAGATTCTAAATTTTTATCAAATTTTGGACTTAAAAACTTCAACAGTTGAAACTTCATATTTTTTAAATGTATACATGTGATATTAGTGTCATATGAAAGATCACGACAACTTGTAATATTTGATATTTTTTCTCAAAATTGGAGTACAAATGAAAGTGTTATAACACTCCATATACTCCGTATTACAAATTGGAGTGTAATATATGGAGATTTTTTATTATTTGTCCCGCAACTCCATTTTTCTTCCTTTTGTTCCGCGTAGCCTAGGTAGTTGCCTTTTCTCCTTTGTGTTTTCCTTTCAGTCGGGTGAAGTAAGAGAGGTCCCCCGGCCATAGGTGTTAGATACCCATGATCACACCTTTGTATACTTAGTTCGTCTCATTTTATGTATCTTATTTAGTTTAACACAAATATTAATAAAGTGAATGGAAAATGTAAAAATTATGATTAAGAGTCCAGTAATATTTAAAACTAAAAAATATCACTTTTAGTAATATTATTGGAAGACCTCTAAAAATTTATATATTTTGTAATAAAAGTTGAATGTTTGTTGAGAATTTCTTAGCCGAAAACTAAAAATGAGATATTTGTGGAAATAAGTTTTTACAAAAAGGGAAAATGGAAACTAATAATCCAACATTTTGGCGGTCTTCTTTTAATAATCCCACCTTTTGATTATTCATGAATAATCCAACCTTTGCACCTCATCTTCATTCAATAGTCCCTGGTCGGTTAATGACCTACTATTCCAAGTTATTTTCTTATCTTTCCAAAATATTATCTTTGTGAAAGATGAGATTTATGGTATAATGATTTGCAAAGATCAGAAAATAGCTTGAAATAGCAGGTCATCAACCGGTCAGGGACCAGTGAATGAAGATGAGATGCAAAAGTTGGATTATTCATGAATAATCAAAAGGTGGGATTATTGAAAGAAGACTGCTAAAAGGTTGGATTATTAGTTTCCATTTTTCCTTACAAAAATGATCCTTGTACCCACTCTTATACCCACTTTTGTACTCACCTATGTTTTTGAAGTATTTTTTCTGTGAACTCCGGTTCACAGACAATATTTTGCACAGACAAAATATTGTCTGTGAATCAGGTTCACAAACAAAAAAACATTCACAAATATGATAGATATAAAATGGGTATAAGAGTAGCTATTGTTATACTCCCTCCGTCCCTTATAATTTTGCCAACTTTCCTTTTTTGGTTGTCCCAAAAACTTTGCCACTTTCCATTTTAATCAATCAATTTTCATGTTATTTCTCTCTCCTCTTCACAAATCTCTACCACACAATTTTTACTTTATTATTCTACGTGCCGGTCAAACATGGCAAACCTTTAAAGGACGGAGGGAGTAAATTTTAAAGAAGTGAGTTTGAAAATTATTGTAGAAGGGGAAAATTGGCACTTTCATGGGGGTGTGGGTTTCCATCATGATAAGAAGGCACGTGTACCGTCGAGGTCAGGATGGTGATAGATTCTATGAGCAGCCATTGGATTCCATCAAAAAGGTACAAAAAACCCAAAATAACTAAAAACAAAGCCCGACCCGCTTTCTCCACTCTCTGCCACTCTCTGCTCCTGCTACTGTCCAGATCCATTCCTTCCATTCTATCGTCAGTAATGGACCACCACCCAAAATCAGCCCCCACCGCCGATTCCCGTCGGCCGACCACCTACCAGGATCCCGACACCGTTCGCCGCCCCAAAAGGCAGAGAAGTTGCCCCACCCCTCTCCACTCCGTCGGCCGCTCCGACGAACCCTCTTTCACCTTCGACACCAAAATCTCCGACGACTCCGCTCCGGAGACCACGCCGAGGTTCGGGTTCTTCAGCGACTGCATAAAGACCGGCAAGCTTCTGAATGAAGACCAAATCGGAGACGGCGAAGTGGGCCGCCTCGGCGGCGGCGGAGATTACGCTCAGAATCAGAAAAGAGCTGTGGGCTAGTTGTAATTATGTTGGAAACATTAGGCTTTCTCGGAAAACAATTATCAATTGCTGACCATTTTCTTTTTTGTTATAGCTTCTCTAATAGGTATTAATGAATCAATTAATTAAGGGGCATATTATTAGATTCATAGAAAAGCCCCGTTTCATTGGACTTGTAATAATGAATTGTAAAGAAATGTTCATTTCCGCAGTTGTTTTTTTCAATCATTTTCACTCTGTTTTTTAAATGTTATACGGGAAAAAATCAGAAAATTTTACATTTTTTAATTCACAAAAGGATTTTTCCTTCTGAAAATATTTATTTAATTAATGTAATAATGATGGTGGAGGAGGATGGAAATCGCCATTGACTGCATTCCAACTGAAACTCTAAGATTCAGTAAATGTAAAAGGGACGATCATTTACTGTGGTTATTTCATTCGGAGTATTTCCATCATCATAGCCGCACGTGTATGTTGCTGTCTTAAGAGTCCCCTACTCCCCTACGTTGACAAACGTTTGTTGGAGCACACATAACGTGTGTTTGTCATGCTTAAATTAAGTGCTTTTTGTCTTTTAGATTAAAAAAAGCTAAAAGAGGTGTTTGATAATCCCAGATTTTGATTAAAAAAAGTGCTTTAAAGTTAAAAGCTGGAAGTTGGGTTGGAGGTGCTTTTAACTGCTTATTGGTTTTTTTGTAAATAGTTTGAACTTTGGGGATGGTTATAATGCTAAATATATTGAAGTGCACCCAGAATACCCTTACTCCCTTCTGCTTCTGTCGCATCGTCTCTTATTTACACGAGTATTATATATATGCATATGAAATACTTTGGCATGGCAGAAGAGAGCAGAGATCGGCGAGAGAAATAGCTTCACCGTCGCCATCAAATCCGGCCGGATTTATCGCTCCTTAGTTCATCATCGTCATTGCCGGAATTGTCAAACTCACCCACACCACCATTATCCGTCCTTCGTCACTTCCTAAACACTCTGGGCGGAGCCTGGAGATGCCCAACCCACCCAAATCTCCATTCGTATCGCAAATCCATCAAGGTGATAACTCCCAGCTTCGTTCCTGTCATGGCCGGAAAGACCAAACCCACCACATCGTCATTTTCACCCCATTAGTGCAACTTTGAATTAATACTTCGTACAGCATATGTTAAATGAGTATAAGGGTGTTTTTGTCTTTCACTAAATTAATACATCAAAAATCACTTTTTTATCAAACACTCCAACTTTAACTTTTCCACTTTAATCACTTCTATTCCCAAACACTATCAACTTTTACTACAAATCACTTTTGCAATAATCTCTTAAAAAAATCACTTTTAAAAAGTACAAGCAATCGCAAACACTCCCATACTAAAATGAGCCGTGCTACTTATAGAGAGTTATTACACAAATTATACGCTATTGGTATATACAGATATTTTAGCATAAGGTTGTGTCTTTTTCAAACGAATTGTTTGTGTACAAGTAGAAGATTGTGTACAAGTTGTGTACTAACTTTGTGTACAACTAGTATTTTTCGTACACGAAAAGTGTACACACCTCCTAGATGCTTGTGTACACAGGTAGCTTCTGAACAAGCTTTTAGTGTACACAGACAATTAGGGTGGGAGGGTGTATATAAAATGTGCAAAGGTTTCATGTACAAATAGATTTTTCCTACTAAGATACACTACCTCCATCCTAATAATATTTCTCACTAACATTAGGACATGAGGAATTGATGCACGAATATTAAGAAAAATGAGTTTATATTTTTGACATGGACGGATCTAGGAGAGGGTCAACCTAGGTTCCAACCCATCTCAAATTTTAAAATGCCTATTTTTTTAGATACTAGCCAAGTCTAACTCAGTCCTCTGGCCCCACCTTTGAATTGATTGATATTGAATTAATATAGTAAAAATGAGTTAAATCACATAAATTTTACCATATTTGGTATGAGGTAATCTTTGGGAGACGGATAAAAATGAAAGATGAAACAATTTTAGCAGGACGAGGTTAAAACTAACTCAGTTTTTTAAATAAGTGCAATAGTCCACTTTTGACAATTGTTGATGTACAATTTTGACTTTTAGCATATTTAATTCTATTTTAGTAAAAAACTAAAAAAAAAACTGATTTTGAAAATTTACATTGAGACAAATTTAATACGGAGTAATATTTTTTAAAAATAATTTATCAATACATTAATAAATAAATTTAGTCAAAATAGAACATGTGAATAGTATAAAATTCAACATATTACCATTGTTAAAGAAAGGAGGTAGTATTACGCAACACTGAACTAAAAATATTATATCTTCGACTTTGCAAACTTTCTTTTTTATTTGTACCCGATATCAACAACATTATTACATTATCATTATATTCTCATCTTAATGCACAGTAATGAAGGTGATAAGTCAAAGTTCACAAACTTAAGATGAAATATGGTTTGAAAGGAAAAATAATAATTGGCTTTAAAATTTAGATCACTACAATTATAGAAACATAACCCAATGCTCTACTTAGCAACTACTCCGTATATATCAATAATTAGTTTAAATGATTGAATACATCGACTTTAATTGGATTGAAACTTTAAATAACTGGGGGTGAAAAAATATAAGATAGTATTCGAACAAGACTTAAGAAATTAGCAAACACATGCATCACTTTTTATATACTGTATCCAAAAACGCAAAATTTATAATTTGAGGAAGAAGAGAATGTTATGTGTAACGATCCCACACTGATCAATTGTGAGATTGACCGGTGGCTTATAAGCTAGGTGTCATCTCCTCCTAATCGACTAGTCTTTTGAATGTGAGTTCTACACATGGGCATAAGACCTTGCTATGGACCTAGTATGTGCTAGGTCTGATCTGTAATAAATGGTATCAGAGTCATCTCCATCTTCTTGGTCCCGACACTCGGAGTGGTGGCATATGGAGTGTGGCTTGGGCCCTAGGGGGTGACAACCGTGACCAACATAGCTGTGACCAACGAGAACATTGACTCTTCGAAGCGTGGGGTATTGTAACGATCCCACACCGGTCAATTATGGGATTGACCAGTGGCATATAATTAAGCTAGGCGTCCCCTCCTCCTAAACAACTAGTCTTTTGAGAGTGAGTTCTACACCTGGGCTTAAGGCCTTGCTATGGGCTTAGTATGCGCTAGGTCTGTAACATTAGGTTATTAGTGAAATGAAGATGAGAGTGGAAAATATGGAAGATGAAAGATGTGACTCGTCCAAGATATAAAAAAAAAAAAGGCGAATAAAGATGTTTTTAATTGAACTGTAATTTTTAAGTCTAGTTTAGTACCTAGTATTTGATTTGATCTAGTATGAGTTGGTCTGAATTAGTCTCATCTTGTAGATATTTGTTCTATATGTATTTTACAATTTTCGAAGTTTGATCTCATTTGATCTGGCCTGACCAGATTTGATTTGGTCTAGTTTGATCTTTTCAAATTGTTTAAGTTTGATCTGGTCTGTTTGATCTCATCTAAAGTTGAAACTGGTCGAATAAAAAATATCCAAAGACGAATGTTTTTAGAGATAAATAGCTAAATAGGTCTAAAAGAGACCCAAAAATCACAAGTGGTAGTACTTTTAAAACCGTCAAAATAGGACTTTCTGTGACTGGACAAAAATGCCCTTGCCACCACATGGACCACCTGCCCCCTACGACTTGCCATCGTCGAACTCTGGCCATCAGAGCTCCACAGCCGCCGCCCAGATTCAGAACGCCGCCCAGATTCCAAAAGGCCAAAAAATCCAGATTTTTTTCTCTCCAGACCTTCTGCCGCCTGTCGCCGCCTGTCGCCGCCTCCACCACCGTACTGCCTTGCCACCAACGGACTGCCCTAATTGCCCAATGAAATTAGGAGGCAATTAATTAGATTAGGGGTATTTATGGTAGAAAATTAATGTTTAGTCCTATTTGTAAATGATTTAGGTTTTAGTCCTATTTGTGCAATTAAGTTTCCATTTAGTCGAATTTAGTGCAAAAAGTTCATGTCCGGAATTCCGGACAAGAACCACCGTCCGGACGGCGGCGTTTGGCCGCCTTCCCGGTGGAATTTTTTGATGAAATTTTTATGGAATGTTCTTCATCAAGTCTAGTGTATCCACAAAAAAATTCAGCCAAAAACTCAATCGGGAAGGTCGTCAAATGATTTTTGCAAGTTAACTGGTTCGGAATATGTATTTTCCGGACCAGTTAACTTGCAAAAATCATTTGATGACCTTCCCGAATGAGTTTTTGGCTGAATTTTTTTGTGGATAAACTAGACTTGATGGAGAACATGTCATAAAAATTTCATTGAAAAATTCTACCCGGAAGGCGTCCAAACGCCGCCGTCCGGACGGCGGTTCCGGTCAGGAATTCCTGACCGGAAGAGTGCTCGTGCAATTAGTAATGTTTTTAAGTACTCCATATAATGCTCAAAACGACATCGTTTGTGAAATACGTGGAAATAGAGAGAATTTTGAAGCCGAGGAAATAGGAGCGAGCGGAAGTTATTCTTCGTACCGAAAATTCAAAAAAAAAAATGGAGTTGGGAGAGAGAAAAGGAGAGATTTATCAGGAAGAAGACGAGTCTCCCCTGAGACTGGGGATTGATCATATATATATACACATACCCCGCGTGAATATAATTTTACGCTACGAAAAAATAAAAGGGCGGAGGAGAAGAGGGGTAGCCTCCATATTTTTGGGTACTTTTCGGTGACGGAATTGTTTCTCTCTCGCGCTCTCCCGTTGCCGATCTTCTCCCTGAATGCCTCACCAGTGTTCAGGGTACTTCTATTCTTTTCCCCATTTCTCAGCATTTATTATGTTTGATGTCTCCTGTGTCTTCTTTTATTCGTACTTCTGAAATTTGAAATTTGAAATTTGGGTGCTGCATTATTTTTATTATTATTAATATTCGACAATAATAATAATCAATTTCTGCAATTATAACTGATAATATTAATTATAATGTCTGTTTTCCATATAATGAATGATGAATATGATTGCGGATCAATTGGGATTTGGGTAGCACATTGGATTTTAGAAATGTTAGGGTGGTATTGTTGATTTCAATGATTATACCTTTACATGCTCGCTACTTGGTAAGCAGCTTTATGTTTGATTTCTGGGGTTTATCTTGTATCTGGCTATCTGCATTGCTTGAAATGAAATATTGAAACCCAAATGATGTATCCTGTAATGTGGATTTATTGGGTCAGAGATTTCAATTTCGGAATTGGGGAGCAAGGTTCCAAAGAACGAGGAAATCATCTGAATTTAGATGTACATCTTGAAAATTTCTTTTTGTTGTCATTTTTGGCATTATGCATTGACCATATTGATAACGCTAAAAAATTTTGCAGACAATTGTGGCGACTAATAAAAGGAGGAGCGAGGGACCAATAACATGGTATGAAAAATATGAACTAGTCTCTGTTTCTCTGCATTCCATCTTGCCTCGTGAACATTGATTAATATAAAATATTGTCATAATTCTGTGGATATCTTATAGGTGTTCGGAGATTAGCAACATGATTATTAGTATATACTATATCATTCATATGACAAAATCAAGTAAGATTCTTTACTCTTAGTTTCTCCCTCTTCTAAACCTGTTACATTCGTCTCCATAAGAAACTTCCTCATTCCATTGAAATGTTTATATTTTCTAACTGCCGACAGTCTTGATTTTCCCCAGAAGATGTGAAGGCTAATCTCCCAGGGAAGACTAACCCTCTAGGGATCCTCTAACTATTAGAAGCTCCCTCAGCATACATATTTGTATATATATACACACACCTGCATGAGATTCTTCAAGATGGCCGTAGCTGTTGACCAACATAATTATGGTTTCAAGCTATTTGGTGGCAGACCCCCGAGATGCAAACTCCAATCCTACTCTCAGCTTGATTTCTCTAATCTTGAAGCAAGCCAAAGAAACCCCCAATATCCTCAAGAACATGCAGCTTTTGATTTTCCCAACATCCACAAAAGTCACTCCACCCCTTGCCTGTCTCTCTCCGCAAAACTTGGAGATGATGTTGACACTAATCCTCCAAGAATTGAAATCATAGCAGGCCATGGAGAGCCACGTGTGCATGCTCTGGTTATCGAGGTTGCGATAACCCTGGCATCTGGAATTAACCCTGAGCCAGTACCAAGTGGCCTGGGTGGTGCATACTTCCTTCAATCTAGTAACGGCAGTAGAATAGCTGTGGCAAAACCGATCGACGAGGAGCCTCTGGCCATCAATAACCCAAAAGGTTTTTGTGGTAGGATGTTAGGTCAACCGGGCCTAAAACCCTCCATCAGGGTAGGTGAAACGGGCTTCCGTGAGTTGGCTGCCTATCTCCTTGACCATGGTGGGTTTGCGGGTGTCCCCCCCACGGCACTTGTCAAGATTTCTCATGTGGAATTCAATGTAAATTCTTCTGAATCATTTACGCACCCACCTTACAAAATTGCCTCACTTCAGCGGTTTGTAGACCATGACTCTGATGCAGGAGAGATGGGCCCATCATGCTTTTCGGTTGCTTCGGTTCATAGCATTGGGATTCTAGATGTGAGACTTCTTAACCTCGACAGACATGCCGGAAACATCTTATTGAAACAAAAACAAGAAAGTTATGCTGTTGAATCGGCAAAGCTTGTCCCGATCGACCACGGGCTTTGCTTGCCTGAATCACTCGATGATCCATATTTTGAGTGGTTGCATTGGCCTCAGGCCTCTATTCCATTTTCAGAGTCTGAAATCAAGTACATTTACAGTCTTGATCCTTTCAAAGATGCAGAACTGATCAGAACTCGGCTTCCTTCTATTAGGGAATCATCCATTCGGGTTCTTGTAGTTTGCACTATTTTCTTAAAGTCCGCTGCTGCTTCTGGGCTCTGCCTTGCAGATATTGGCGAAATGATGACGAGGGAATTCTCTGGAGGAGAAGAAAGGTGGAGTGTTTTAGAAACTCTTTGTTCGAACACAAAGGCTAGTTTGGAGAATGCTAGAATTATTGACGCTAACGCCAACACTGATCCTCCAGATAAATATGACGATGACCAAGAAATTTTTCAATTTGATTGTGAGTATGAAAACATCAACATTGGAGAAGGCTCAGATTGTCTCAAGACCTTGCAGAGTAGTGCAATAAGTGGAAAACCACCAAAAATCCCGAGATTTTCATCTGTAGGGTCTATGAATACGTTGGACAATAGCCTCATAAACTTCTTCTGTCAAAAAAATGCTTCTGATGACTACAATATTGAAGAGGCAGAGGCTGGTGATGACAATGATTGTAATGTAAGTGAGAATCAGAAGGGTGGTGGGTTGATGAAGAGCAAGAGCTATTCTGCAGGAACCTACCAAACCGATTGTGAAGGGATTTGCTTTGGTGAAATGAGCAGTATGGAATGGGAGGTGTTCTTGGAGATTTTTGAGAAAAAACTGCCTGAGGCTTTCGAGGCCAGAAAGTGTGGTGGCTTGTCAAAGCAAAGGTTGGGAACTTCATACTAGTATATTCAAGCAGAAAAGAAGTATGGAGCTCAAAAGACTGCCTTGTATGTAGTGTTCATTATAGGTGTAAATTTAAGCTGAAATGACTTCATTTTAGAATGGTGGGTAGAAGATTACTAGCTACTAGCTTGAGTGGAAACGTGGTGGTTAAAATGTCATCCATTCCACCAACTTTCTCCCCTATGATTAAAATATATATCTCTTTTATATTTTCCTCCTTTTTCCCTTTTTACCCTCTTAAATGACCAACTGACCCTGTAGAGGAACTTTCATATTACTCCGTATTACATTGTAAGAGAACTGCTGTTATGATGAAAATACTAATGGTGATTCGATGACAGGCTTCATATACTGCTACTAATGTTCTGTTACTCCCTTGACAATGAAAATAGTTACAATGAAATGCATGATCATAGAATGGTAGTCAAGAAATTTCACAGAATTGTTGTTTGAGAGCATTTGCTTTTCTTGAAAGCAATATCTTATTATCTGTTTTATTTTGTAAAGAATCCTTCTGGACTGGCAAGGTTTCCAACATAGAAATTCACATAACTGCTACTGCTGCTTTTTTGGAGACATCATTTCTAAGGGTAACTCTTTCTGCTTCACTGCCTGTCTGTGGTGCAATCCCTTTTGTATCGAGCTCATTTTTAGGATACGATCTTCCGCTCCCACGGATGAGATCTTTGATGATACTTATAAGAGATTCATCCTTGATCAAGGACTCCATTGTTACATGCACACCTGATTCAAGAAGTAGAAAGTTTGAAATATGAATAAAATAGGACTCAAACTGCTAAAAACTAATTGTAATGTGCATAAAAATAATTGTAAGGTGTTACGGAAAAAGGACCTTTTTAGTGATCTAAGATACACAAGTATTGTGATTGCAGATGTATTTGTGTGTGTGTGTGTGTGGGGGGGGGGGGGGGGGTACAGCGATATTATAGTTCGAAAGCATCTACCGGCATTTCACTGATGAATAGTTTTAAAACGCTTAAGACCAAATAATGAAGCAATCCAAGGTCAAGGTATCAAATGTGAAACTATTGAGATTATTTAAATATTAACATTATTATTAGTTGTACACTTGTACTACTTATGTACTATCTCTAAGTAAGTACATATGAGTACATGTCCATGCACTCTTATTATTATTTTATTTTATTTATTCCCTCCTATCACGTATTGTACTATGTTAATAGACATCAAGTAGCAGCAATAAACTCACGGCTTCTAAGCCATCCTCTTCGTATGATATTGTTTAAGCTTCCTTCTTAATAATATACTAGTATATCATACATTTAGATTTTATCAAAAACTGATGATGCAATCCTATTTAGAGCCCATTTGGTGATTCTGTTTTTCGGCTTGTCAAGCTTATCAGCCAATTATTGAAGGATTATTACTTATTAGTTAAATACTTAAATATATCCCCAACTATCCTCTAATTCTCAAATTTATCCCGTACTTTCACTTTTGTTAAAAAAAAAGACCCAAACTTCAACTTTTCTCACAATTACACTTTCAATGGATGAATTAGTAAAACTTAAGAATAAAATCATAATTATATTTGATATTGTTTCACTACTTTCTAGTTTTAAGGTTACAAACTTGTATTGCATATATCTTATTGTATTGATAAAAAGGTGCAATTTTGGAAAAACAAAAAAGAAAAGCAAACACGTAATTTTTTATTTCGCGCGCTGAATTGTGTAATAATAATAAAAAGTAAGATTGGAGTTACTTTTCTGGGCTAAAGTTATTGTAGATGACCATGTTAGCTATTTTCATATATTTTTTTTCTTTTTTATTAATAAAATAGATTTTAAATATAATTGTTTCATAAATCAAAAGAATCGGCCAATACAGCCACTTCAGCCAGAACTTCATAAATTTGAGCATAATCAACCGATTCAGCCGATTTCAGTGTTACCAAACGAGCTTTTAATGTCTTATAATGACTAATGAGTATGAAAAGTGCTAATTCAGTTGGATGGCTTTTAACTTCTTTTGTATATGTCCCTTTCAAGCCACACAATTCTTCATTTAACCAAATAGACTTTTACACACAAAAGTGATGTGACTTTAAAACCACACCAATACCACCTTCATCTTAGTTTTCAAATACGGAGTACTGGAAAATGTACATGTGACTCAATAGGGAAGGATTGACAAATAACAGAACCAAATAAAAAAAAGTCATTTCCCTGTGGAGAAAAAGAGAAGAGATGGACTCACGGTATCGCCAATAGTGTTTTGGATTTGTTGGATCATTTATAGTCTCCTCAAATGCAGGGCGAGTTGTGTAATCTTCATTGAGTGCGAGCAAATCCTGTTCATTGATTCAGTAAATATTGATTACAACTCTATTAGCAATAGACTAGACTAGACAAGACTAGACTATTACTATAGTAGCTACGAACATGTCCCTCCAATGCCAAATCAACTCAAAGAACAAATTCTTAAACCCGGAATCAGTGAATTCTCCAAAAAGTAATCAACTAATGATTCTAATGCCTTGTACGTAGTATTAATTATTGATGTTTAGGTGTAGCACAATTTTGTAAAGACCAATACTACCTCTGTCCCTATTTTAAATTTGTGTTTACTTTTATGGTCTTTAATTAATGCCCAAATGTCCATCTTTGACCATTATTATTTCTTTTTAGGAATTTTATCAATCCACGACCTAAAAGATAAAGTGTGTCGATATAGGACCCGAATGATTGAAAACACTCGATCTAAGACCAAAAATAGCGTAGATTTTGATCTTTAATTTTTTTATTAATTCTGTTGATATTTTTTGATGATTTATTCTTCACAAAAGTTTATTACTTTTATGGTTGATAATTTTCAACCATTCGAGTCCTATATTGAAAAAGTTTATCTTTCAGGTCCCTTAGTGATAATAAACCTATCCTTCAGGTCCCGATTCATAAAACTTCTTTTTACAATTATATATTTACAATATCTATAATGAATTATTCATATCATCATCATCATCATTTACCCCAGTGCCGCAAAGGTTCCCACCTACGGTGGGGTAGGGGGGGTCGGATATACGCAGTCTTACCCATGTACTACTAAAGCGCATAGAGATTGTTTCCGGGTGACCCATAGTGAAAATCGCATCCCAAATTGCATGGACTGACTGCTGCTTCATAACAAAGAAACGCAGATAGTTCAGTGAGCCATTTTGCTTTATTCCATCATATTCTCAAGCCAAAAAATAGTGAATCTTTGTGATATGAAGCAGAATCTGGGCTTGGAAGAACAGGGGCAGAAGCCTCCGTAGGTTTACTGAAGGCGGGGACGGGCTTGAGCCCACCTTCATGGGCTGGTTGCGGGATGCTTAATTAATATTTATTCTTTTTAATTATCCCGATTTGTTTCCTATTAGGAGTTTATTAGGATCTCTATTATTTGTTTCCTATTTAAAGTTGATTAGGATCTCTATTATTATGTTTCCTCGTTGGAGTTGATTAGGATCTTTATTATTTTGTTTCCTAGTTGGAGTTGATTAGGATTTATAGGATTTTGTTTCCTAGTTTAAGAATTAGTAGATGGGTATTTAAACCCCTTGTTAGGATTCATTCATGCTCATCTT